CTAATTTAGCAGTGTAAGACTAGAGGCATGGCAGCTAGTCATCACCACCCACCACCAACTCTTGGGCTACTCTTTTACCAACGAATAGTGGGATTGATCGTCACATTATAACGCCCCCACGGCTGAAAGAGCGAGCATGTTTGGTGTGATGGGGATTCGAACCCGCGACCCGCAGACTGTGAGTCGAGCTCCCTAACCACCTGGCCATAAGTTCCTCGGAAAGAATTTATACCGGAAATTAACAAACGAGCAGATACGTAACAGTATTTATGAATTTATATTTTCTATGGTTAAGGTTTCATTTTTTATACAGTGTATATATATGTATGTATATATATACAGCTCATTAAGTTAAGACTTGAGTTTGAGGACTTTATGTACATTTTCGCAGTGTAAGTATGTTTAGACTTTCTTTTTTGTGTAGCGCATACACATATTTCTGTACATTGATTTAGTTCTGAGAGCGCTGTATGTATGTATGTATGTGGTTATTTTTTGTGCAAGACTTTTGCTTTTATAAAAGAATTACTTTACTTAATTGTTCTAATTAGGGCCTAGACATTAATTATGTTATTTTAAAATGTTATTCAAGTGGGTTATACAATGTTGTGTTTCATATTTAATGGTTATTTGTGTGTTTAAGTTTTACAGTTATTGTAGGGTTTTATTTCATGTATTGTATTCTTTCATAATTTAAGGGTAACTGGATTGTTTGTTTGTTTTTGAATTTCGCGCAAAGCTACACGAGGACTATCTGCGCTAGCCGTCCCTAATTTTGCAGGGTAAGACTAGAGGAAAGTCAGCTAGTCATCACCACCCACCGCCAACTCTTGGGCTACCCTTTTACCAACGAATAGTGGGATTGACCGTCACATTATAACGCCCCCACGGCTGAAAGGGTGAGCATGTTTGGTGTGACAGGGGATTCGAACCTGCGACCCTCAGATTGCGAGTTGAGTGACCTAACCACCTGGCCATGCCGGGCCCGGGTAACTGAAGTGTTTTATGCAGTGCTGTATTGTGATTTCTATTTTTAAAGTATATCTACTGTTGCATATCTGCTTGTTTGTTAATTTCCGGCATATATTCTTTCCGAGGAACTTCAGCGATACAAGTCCTTTCTTAGTTAAAACTAGTTTATTCTTTCTCGATACAACTTTGTAATACACAGAATGTCTACAGTCACTTTAAACCTAACAACCTCTATAACACAGGCTATAAATCACACACTTTACTTACGGTGCCTACTGTTAGCTTGACTCAATTATCTCTATCTTCAATCAATCTGCATATCTATCTCTGCAATCAAACATCCCGCAGGCTTTATCTGCCATGTTTATATACTAAAAAAGGGGGCGTCCCGAACGCACTAGGAAATTCATGATCATTCGCGAGACGCTCCCAGCGTCGCGCGACTTCCGCTATCGTAACACTACTTCATGTTTTAAAATTTCTAATTTGGTTTTATGTTTATTATCCTATTATACTGAATCATCATTTTTAGTTTAGTATATGAATTCTGAATAGCCTAAGACTCCAGAGATATTATTGGGTTTGTAACCAAAACTTTTATTAGTTGAATCATTTTGTACAAGTTGGAAAGCAGATCACTAAGAAAGGAACCTGAACTGTTGATAAAGGTTTCACTTTGACGAATCTTTCCGAATGTTGAGTTATTACTGCAGTTTCTATATGTATATTCACATCATTTGTAACTCTTAACTCAATGAAATCCCTTGCAAACTAGAATGTCATAATGTAGCCTTCAATTATTGAGTTCTATTTTTATTCATAGCTATAGTGCATAAGCTTCTCTTAAACAATTATTCATTAGGTTAAAGATTTGCTTTGATTACAAGCTCTTTAAATATACAAAATAGCAGATTAGACAGTAATGTGCCAATATACAGACAGTTTTCAATGTAGTCTGGAGTATAACAAATAGAAGTAGAATGCATAACATAGAGGTATATAAGCATACCATGAGTTTTCTACCTCCTTGTATCAATAAAGATTTTTAAAACAAAATATTATTTGCGTAGGTATCCACAGTTTGCACATAACACCTTGGTGAAGAAGGTCGCTCAGTTCCTTTTGCTCTATTCACCTTATGTCTTGTGTCATTCAACCAGAGTAGCACCATTTGTCTTCCCATGGCAAAAATAACTGCAAGGTCACCTATAATATACGAAGTTAGTTATATTTTCTGCTGACAGTCAGGTGATCCCTTGAGGTAATGACCTATCTTATATTTAATCACGAATGACCTGTCACGTGGTAGTGCTTCTCACTCTGGGTAAATCTAACATCAACAAGTTAAGTAAGTAACATGCATGTTATTTATTCAGTGTGAAATAGGATCTGGTTTACAATTTTCTTTAAATTAGAACAATTTCAGAGTTAACTCTCCAGTAATGGCAACTGTCCATTGTGGCAAGTAAAATATATTCTTCACTGTGTTTGTGTAAATAAAGATTATTTATTATTATTATACAGTTCTGTTCAGTCTCTCTCTGTATCTTTCACAAACTCACTTAGTCAGAGAATGCAGAATTATTTCATAGTGAATATATTGATGAATTTCCTGTTATTCAGTGGACCTATCTTGTCACTCTTAGGGGAAATCAGTGTTATTTGAAAACACTACAGAGCAGATAGAAATGAAATAAAATTGATGCGGTGACCAGGATATCTTATTGCATGGTTTTCTGTCTGACGTGTATATCACCATTTAATTAAATATGTGTTTTTAAGATTTAAAAAA